TTACTGATTGGAAATTCTGTGTATTACAAAGCTGTATCGAGAAAGAATAAAGTAGTTTTAATCAGGAAGGGACTTGTATCACTGAAGTTCCTCTGAAAGAATTTATACTGGAAATTAACAAATGAGAAGAGATGTAACAATATTAAAGAGTTACTGGCTGTAAGGAGAATGCTACTGCTTTACAAAAGGATTTGGATTAGTTGCTGACTTAAGCAAATAAATGGCAGATGACTTAATTATAATACATACAAGGTAATGCATGTACACTATTGCAATTTCAATTATGAGTATTATTTTGATTCAAATAACCTTAATAGTGTTGTGGTTCATTTGTCATAAGCCATCCAATCAATGTACTGTTGCTAGCAGCAAGGTCAATAGGATTTTATGTTCTATCTATAGGCATATTGAATACAAGTCTATTAAAGTTATAATATCATTGTATAGGTCATTTGTTAGGAAATATTTGGATACTGTGTTCAGTCTTGGGCTCCTTACCTCAGAAAGGACATTAAATTGGTGAAAAGGGTTCAGAGGAAGGTTATGAGGGTGGTACCTGAGATGGAAAGGTTGTCATATGAGGATAGGTTAATATTTCTAAACTTGTTTTCTCTTGAAAACAAGAAGAGTTAGAGAGGATTTTTTTAAGACTTTTAAGAGAATTGATAGTGTTGATGCATCATCTTTTTTCATATTTAATGGTGATAATGGTAGGACTAGGAGACACAGTAATTTTGGTGGGGTAGGAGTCATCTTCAGCTAAGACAGTTTTATTTTTCTAACAGAGCACTGGCATTTGGAATGGATGCCTTTACTTTCAGATATGTCAGATGTGATAGTTGCAGTTAATTTAAAGGAAAGCTTAATAAATATTTAAATGATAAGGGCTGGTTTTGAGCTTTAATTTGATAGGATGACCTAGAAGGACAAAAAGGTCCCTTGTCACCCGTTACTGTTATGTATAAAAATGACTATATAATATTTCAATCTAGTGTAGTTTCAGTTACATTTTTTTGCATTTCACTGGCTATGATTCTGGTAAAAACCATTAATTCTAAACAATAATTGAATAGCAGTCTATAAGTGAAAAAAATGTGACATAAATTTTTTCTTTGATTAAAAAGTAGAGCAGTTCTAGTTCTTTACTTACTTACGTTTCTCTTCTAATTTTTTCATTCTAACCTATCACAGAATGGTAATTTAAGGATAAACATAGCACACAGTTACCATATTTACCCAATATTTAGAGATTCAAGGATTTGTTGGGGTTGGAAGTTGACTGAGGAAGAACCAGAAATAAAAAGCTGACTTTAGTGTTAGGACTATTGCTCTTTAATGTGAAAATCGATTAAATATGTAATTATATTGAACTAATAAGTAAATATAATGAAATTGTATTTAAATAAAAGTAAATATAATGAAAATGTATTTAAATAAAAGTAAATATAATGAAAATGTATTTAAATAAAAGTAAATGAAAATATAGCATGCATGATACTGTTACGTCTCCATTCATTAGTTAATTTTCCGAAGAACTTTACCAATACAAGTCCTTTCTTAAATAAAACTGGTTTATTCTTTCTGAATACAACTTTGCGATACACTTAATTTCAATGGCCGTGCTACAACAAACTCTATAACTCACAACGAATGTCTCACGTGCCCAACAATATTCTCTCTCTGTCCGCAGTTCTATTACTCATTAACTCACGTTGTTTCTTGGCCGGTCTTATATATATACAAGACTACCCCAATCTAGTAGTCTCCCGACATTTCATGAAGGTTCGAGAAGGAAGTGGCGTGATACAAGCGTCACGTGACCTTCGCTGTCGTAACAATACATTTGATAACAAAGACCCTGCCAAACCCTCCCATGTGTACCACTAATAGTTGAACAAAACAACGCTAACCTAAACCAACACTCTAGGGTACCAAGATACCTTTACTGAACTGTTAAGCAATCCCCAGTCATGTCACCTCTCTGTTCTATACTATGTGTGTGAGTGTATATATATATGTATATTCATGTGTCTCTGTAAACTAATTTTACCTGATGATGACTTAATCTTGTCAAAACACTGTACATTAAAATAAAGTTTTCATCATTACCTATTGAAGCCATCTCCAAACTTTTATATGCATAATACATGAACAACAGAGTGAGGAATACAGGAAACAAATATGAGACTTTCACAGGAAGTCATCACTTTTTCAAGCCAGAAATTAGTCTGTTTAAAATGTGAAACTAAATTCACAATTAAACTTCTCTCTCTATAGCAGACTAGTTAGAAAATTATATCATAATAATCCAGAAATATCAATGCTAGTCGTAGAGCAGTCTTACATACACGAGGTTAAGTGGTACACAATATAACTATCCCATCAAATACTAGATAGTGTCTGTAATCATACTTTGCTGTTGCAAGTAACAGTTAAGGATGCATTTAGCACATTATCTTTGCTAAATCTGTTGAAATGGGACTTTAGGAAATTTTTTAATTTTGTGAATGTGAAATATATACTAAACAATGACATTTTCTGATTGAGAAGAAAGATTATATTGTTCTAATATTATGTGTTTAATGTAAATTAAAGTATGAAAATAACATAATGTTATGCATAAGGGAAATTGTATTAGTGGTTTTGATAGAATAATTCATTTTGTAAAATAGTTGGATTAATACAGTGAAGTGTGAGCCAGAAGTTATTTTGGTGAAGAAGCTTGCTCTTAACAAGCATAAATATTTATGTAAATTAATTCCTGATGAATGTAGCTATTCTTATTTGATGACCAAAGTATATAAATCTTAATAAATAGTGAACAGAAAGCAAAAAGGATTCAGAGATGGCTTGCAGAAAATCCTGCACCTGCACCTCCACCTTATCCAGGTTTAGTACATCAACAAGAGGTAAGAAAATGGTGCAAAGTATAAATTAGATCAATAATTGTTTGTCAGTGATATAACTGAACTTAAACATAAAAGTAAGACAAAAACTCACTGTATACTTTTAAGTGTTATTTACAAATGTGATAGGTTTATTGACCACCACTGTTACAAAGAAATCCCTGGCCTTTCTAGGTGGTAATTATATCAAACTGTTTTGGTAAGTTAGTCTAATTCTATAGACTGAAAATTGTATAACCTTTGATGAAGTTATTCTCTTAATTTCAGACTGGTTTAACACTGCTATTTTATTGTATTAGAATGAATTGTCTGTGAGATAATTGAAATAGGTCTCTTCAATTTCAAACATTTTAATAAAATATGGTTGGAATGAATTTTCTATTTACATTTGCAATTTTTTGGGAATTTTTGATCAAGGTCCTTGTGGAATTATGTATGAAATGCTTATAACCAGATTTAACATGATGAAACGTTTCTACAACAGGCAGTTGTTGTCCATTCAGCTAACTTTAATCATGAATATTCTGCCTAAATAACCTATCAAAGAATACAGATTTAAAACTGAACAATTTCTTTAATGATATCAAAATTACACATGAAAATATAAAGAAGATATATTTCCTATCTTCTTTGAACTACTAACACAACTTAAATTAGTAAATAATGAAACAATGTTATTTTCTTGAAATTTGAGACTTAGACGTTTTGTAGAAGGGAATTATTTAGCCCCAAATAAATTATCACTAATTGAATCCTTGATTTCAACAGTGGATAGTCATGATATTATCAACAAGTCAGACTGGACCTGTTGAAAATGGTTAACCAAGTTCAAAATAGGTTTATGAAGTTGAATTTTTTTGTTTTCAGTTAAGTTCTACATGAACATTGTGGTAATAAAAACTGTACAAATTCATTATAAGTTAAACCTCACTTACCTTGTACACTGAAATTCAATTGTCAAATTTAATTAGCATTTTAAAATTATTAAAATAAGCTAAATAATTAATTAAGCAACATTATTTTTTGTTTCAATTTGAAACTGGTAAACTATCTTATGACACAGTAGGTCTACAAAAAAAGAACAGAGTGGACTGATTCCACTGAACACTAAGATGCAAATTAAAAGAAATATGATTTGCAAAATCAAATAGGAGAATACTTTGTTTCTTTCTTTGAATTAAATATATAAAGATAAACAGTGTTATAAATAAGTATCTGAACATTAGAAACATAGTACATTTATCGAACATTTTTATCATTTATGTAAGTAATACCTAATTTAGAACCCCAAACTGCAATATTAATACATGTAATTACAGCAGAAAGTGTTGGCTTTTAAAATTGATTGGTTTCATGGAATAAAGCATGGCAGAACTATATTTAAATTAAGTGTCATGTTTAGTTTTTTCTGTAACTCTTTGCCCAAATATTTTGTGTGAAAATCCCACAGCCAAGCCTTGATAGTTGTCTTTACTATAGTTTTAAAGTTCTCTTATACAGCAAGGTAATGTTTTTCCATGGATCCATCCATATACACTGGTGTTAAAAAGTGAAAGAACAAACTATTCTTTTGAGCACTAACAATTTGTTTCTTAGCTTTTGGAAAGCAGACTAACTATTTATAAGTTGATAACCATCAATGTTTAATTTTAGATTATACAACCAGAGCATTCAGTGTTGGATTTCAGAGTGAAAAGTTTATTTACTCTTGAATAACTATATTTTCACTAATATTGATTTTGTTACATGATGTAAATAAACCATTGCTTTAAATATTGGAATGAAAAATTATCAGTGACCAAAATAGATAAATAAATACATATGTACATTCTACTGTAAATGTTAAAGCTATTATTTTGACTGAAACTTCATTTCCTGAAATTAACTCTTGTTTGTTTCATAGTTTTATGTAGGGGAACTTAAAAAAAGTGTTGCATCATCTCCGATTGCTTCATTGCCTCAGCAGTGGCAAGAAGGAATATTAAAGCGCTCGCTGTCCTTTCATAAATCTTCCACCAACTTGAGCCCAGTAATTGAAAGGCTATTAGCAGATGTAGAGGAGAACTATGTGAAGACTATGAGGAAAGCTGCAGGTGACAAAAAACTTCTTCTTCACAAAAAAAGATTTAAGTGTTTTAGACCCTTAAGGTAAAATTAATGAAACCAATATAAGTTACTTTTGATGCTATTATCATGGGCATTGCCAGAATGTTTTGTTGGAGAAGCTCAATTTTGTTAGAGAGCTCATTTCTGTTTATGTTGCATTTTTCTTAGATAATTTTACAGTGTGTGTACCTGGTTACCACAGTATAGAACAATATGGATACTGCCTATTTACATTGTACTGAGAAAAGGGCAACTGGCAATATCCAGATAATGTTGAAATCACTGAATATCTTATTTAAAGAGGTTTATTTTACAATTTCTCACAAAATAATTTGATGGTTAAGTTTAGGAACAAATATTTATAATTTTTTTTAGATTTGATTTGGTAAGTATACTTACCAATATGGAATATGAACTTATCATTTCATACTGGCATGGCCTGGTGGTTAAGGCACACTTGACTCACAATCTGAGGTTCATGGGTTAAAATCATTGCCACTGAACATGCTCACACTTTCAGCTGTGGTGTTTTTATGATGTGACGGTAAATCCCATTATTCATTGGTAAAAGCATAGCCCAAGAGTGGGCAGTGGGTGGTGTTAACTAGCTGTCTTCTCTCTAGTCTATCACTGCTAAATTAGGAATGGCTAGTGCAGATAGCCCTTGTGTAGCTTGCACAAAATTTAAAAGAAATTAAAACAATCGTCCTGATATATGATAATGAAGTTTTCACACTTGTATTTTATGTTGACTTAATCTGTTAGTCAAAAGTCAGACACCAAATACTATGTTTTCACACTGAACATTTTTACCTATGTTTGGTCATGTTGATCATTCAGGTATTAATTATGGTTAAATGATTAATATGATAATATACTACAAACATGTAATATTTACAAGTTGATATCAAATATAGACATTCAACATAATTAAGATATATAAGCACACAACAGGTTTGTCCTGTTTTCAAAGTTTGGCTGTCTATATGTATAACTTGCATGCACCAATGATTTATGAGAGAGAATTTGTACATGCAGTTTTGGAAGTTAACCAGTGTTAAAACATTTTATTTTTTCAAAACATAAGCTTTATCATGAAATTAAATTATTTACAACTTCTGATCTAAAATAAACTAACTTGATCAGAATAATTGTATAATAGATTAACCATAACTTTTAGGGATCATAAATTATTTCACAAGAATACAAAAACCAACATAATTAAAGTGCACGTTATTTATATGGAAGCCCCTCTTCCCTGCCAGTATCCGTTTTTGAGGTGAAAGGTAGAGGACCCTCTTCCTACTGTGGACCTGATATACAATTTCAGATGCAGCCAGGTGTTAGTTGAGGTCAAACTCCCATTTACAATCTGTCATACCTTAACTACTCTACATCAGGAGGTCCCATTATTTCTGTAATTTTTCTTCCCTTTTTTGGCAACACATTACTAAAGGGCAAAGAGGTGTGTTATTTTTACTTCCTTCTCAAACCCCATGGTTTTTCTTTTGGTGCTTCCTAAAAGGAAATCATCCTCTCACCAGCCCTTCACTAGTTCAATGTGGGATTCTAGCTTTTTGTGAGAAGAGGTAAGATATTGTATCAGAAGTTAAAATTTGTTTTAACTGAAAATGTATTTCCAATAGATACTTACCTCTTCTCACATTTTCCACACTTCTTCCCAACTTACAGTGTGGTTTGGTGTGATCTGATCAATCTCGAAATGGTTAGCAGTTGCAAGATTAGAGATGGTACTAGTTATGGTAGGGGTAGTGTTGCACTCCTATTGGTGGAGGATTACTGCATAATCATCAGTGAGAGTATCAAGTGGGAGGTAAGTGTCTACCAGAAATACATTTTCAGTTTAGGAAAATGTTAACCTTTGTTAAATGGCTTTGCAAAGCATCTTTTATCAGATTTTCCTAAACTTTTACCACAGCTGATGAAAGACTAATTAGCTTATAATTACTTGGACAATTTTTAACACCTCATTTGAAAAGAGGAATGACATTAGCTAACTTACAATTATTTGGCACCTACCCACTATTCAAGAGCTTACAAAAAGTAGTAACAAGTGGCTCACATATCCAATCTTTAACCTCCTTCAAAACCCTTGGGGAAGTATTATCTGGCCCAGGAAATTTGTCATTCTTTAAACTTCCCAATTTGTTTCTTAACAAGCTCAGAATTAATGCAATCATTTTTGTTTGACCTTGTTTCCATCTATCAACTGTTCAATATGAGGATACTTAAATCTTCATTAGTAGAAACTGAAGGAAAAGCAGAATCTCATAATCATCAGATATAAGTTTTTTTGTCTCAAGAGTCCTACCCCCATCTTAACATTTTGTGTACCCTTAATGTATTTAAAATAATCCTTACTGTTCATTTTTATTTTCCATCAACTTTTTTTTTCATACATCCTTTTTGACATCCTAATTTCTTGTTTGATGATATTTCTTGATCTTCTATAATCACCTGTCATATTGGTCAATTTAACATTCTTAAATTTGTGATGCTTTTCTTTAATTTCATCTCTTATATCCTTTGTGAGCCAACCTCGTATTTTACTTGCAGAACCACCCTTCTCTTTCTGTAAGGAATATTTTTATCTTGAATATTTAAAAATTTTCCACATTTCATAAATGTCTTCAAATAATTCAGCTGCCCAATTCACAACAGATAATTCTTGTCACATCACTTCAAAACTAGCTTTTTTGAAATTGGTAACTAAAGTACCATTATTCCTAAATTCCATATGTAGCAAAACATCGAACCCAATAGAGCAATTATCACTTGTGCCCAAATGCTCCCCAATTTTTACCTTCTCAACCATTTCTACATTATAAGTTAACATTAAATCTAAAATAGCATTGTTTCTAGTAGGTATCTTGAATTTCCAAAAAACCTTTCTCCCTCATGATTTGACTCTAACATTTCCCAGTCTATATGCCTGAAATTAAAATCACCCATAATAATGACTTCATTAATAGCTGAAATCTTAATCTCATTGAAAAGTTTCTCACTAATTTCATCAGTATCATCTGGTGGCCTGTAACAAATTCCCACTAAAAGCCTTTTTCCCCTTATATCTGCTAATAGAAACCCAAATGGATTCAATCTCCTTGCTATAATCTTTGATATCCTCAATTTCAACAGAATGTAACTCACATTTTACACATAAAGCCATTCCTGTCTCTCTTTAGTACTCTAATCCTATTAAATGACTCTGTAATTCAAAGAAATTTCTGTCATCAAAATCATCTGCATTTAACCATGTTTCAGCTAGTTTCAATATATCAAAATCCTCAATTCCTACCAGTGCTTTAAAGTCATGTATTTTAATTCTTATACTTTTAGCTTACAATAGTAACAATTAAGCCTAACTTAGAACTACTTCTGTACTCATTTCTTTTGCTAAACTTTTCTCTACATTTTATTGTTTTTGCATTTAGTTTATCCTGGATCTCACCACTGTCTAGTCCTAGTTTAAAGCTTCCCTTACAGCTGAGTTAATAGCCCTTGCAAACAGGACCAAACCTACCATATTTAAATGTAAACCATCCATTCCAAAAAGCTCCCTTCCCTCATTGAACTGATCCCACAAATTCAACCAACCAATATGCTCATCCTTACATATTAACTTAAGCCTAGCATTCAGCCCTAATGACCTACTTATAATTTCATCCACACAATTAATTCTCAGTAGTATCCCTGACACAGTTAAGATATGGCCTTTTCCTTTAAATGCCTTTATCAACCCCTTGTACTTATTAGTTAGCTCCTATTATCTACTTTTCCCTATATCATTAGCCCCAATGTGCACAACAAAGACTGCATCATTGCTAGCCCCCTTTATTATATCTCTTGCTTTGTCGGTTATATTCTCCACCTATGCCCCTGTGTAGCATAATCTAATTATTTTCTCCCTATTTATGCTACAGACTATCATATCCACGTGCCTTGTCAAGGAATCACTTGTAATTATAACCTCCTTAAGTTTATCATCCACATCTGTCTCTGACCCCTTTTGTTTTCCTTCCCTCTAATAGTTCCTCATCTGCACAAGCAAAGGGCTGAAATCTGTTTTCCAGTAGAATAGGCTCGTTACAATTAACTCCATTACTTTTAGCCCTAATAGTACTCTTTCTAACTTCCTGAAAGTCATTGTTAGCTGATGCATCACATGCATGTAAAAGATTAAGCTCCTTTTGAAATACTGCTGCCATTTCTCACAGTTTACACTTCTTTTTATCTGTTGCCTCTACTTTAATTGGAATAACCTCCAACTTCTCTTCCAACCTACAAACTCTACATACAAATTGAATATCTCCACTATTAGTACTAACTTCCTTAGAATTACATACCAGTCCTGAGTTCCCAAATAAATCCCATTCACTGCACCCATCACACATAAAAAACTTGGAATGCTTAACTCCTACACTGGTCTTAATCATCGTATTTATATTGTAACCTGGAAATAAATACTCAATACCAGTAGCTTATTGCCAATGCTGTTAAGCCTAACATTTGAGAATCAAATATATTATAGTTTTTTATCCCAACTTTATGTTCACACTAAAGTAATTAAGTTTATCTTTAATTATATAAAAGTGACAAATAAGTAGCTTTACTTTATATGATGTTGACGTAATACAAATAATACAATGTATTTGCATAATTTATAACCTACCTATAATCTAGTGGATCTTAAGTCAAAAAAGCAAGTTAATCCTTAAAACACAAAGAGACTAACAATTCTGAATCAACTTCTGGGTATAAAACATATCAAAGTTATTCATTTACTTGTAAAATTAAAAATGTAAAAACTAATGTTTAAAGATATGGACATGCAAAGCTGTTTTATAATGTTTCAGTATTTGATTCTGTTTCTACAGTAGGTCACATTTTCAAAATATCTGAAGAATCAGTTCTGTGTTCTTTACAATAAGTCATGTTTTGTCAAGATGCTTGAAAATCAGGTTGTTTTGTTTTCTTTTCAGTAAATCATGTTTTCAAGGTACCTGAAGAATCAGTTTTGTTTTCTTTTTAGTAAATCATGTTTCAAGAATGTTACTTACCTATCTGCTCTATTAATTGCCATGTAATTTTTGCACATGCCACAATCCTTGAACAAACTCCCACCCCTACATGTGTCTAAGTGTATTGCACCAGCATATGATGTAATAATTATAATGCTGTAGGTCTTCACAAGTAGAAGGCTGACACAACCTCCATTTGCTGCATTCTCTCTGAGAAATAAGGTGATCATAGGCATATTATTTCCTTGGCACTGTCTGTGTTCAAATATGTTTTTTTCCTATGTTTTTAGTTTCTAGTTATCTTGATTGACTGCCTTTCTTTAGTGCTACATTACTTTGTCCTCATTGCAATTTTGTTTCATCCATGTGATGGCAACTTCATTTTCTCTGGCCACCACATTTCTTATTGTGCTATTTACAACAACAAATACACAAAAATAAATAAAAAATAACTTCCCAAAGCTTAGACAGTCTTTATCAAGCACTTTCTCTAACTGTTTCATAAATGGTTAGAGGTACTTTTCTAAATATGGAGCTGACATTCAGTATTTATCTCTTTAGCTTATTGCATGGAGCAAATGCATAGCATGTTATAGGTCTCAAAATTTCAATAAGTGTCATGGTACTATGATTATCATAGATGTACTAAATTACTTCAATTCTATAGAGCTGTGATGAACCACGATATGACAGCAGGTTCACTGCCGATATTTTTCAACCATGATGTTACTGCATCAGGTGGCTAGTTCTGTTTTATTGCCTTCTGGGAGCTTGCCTTGCCTTTAGATGATTTTTACCATCTGTTCCACCTTCAGTCTTTGCTTCTGGCTCTTATCTTCTTAATAAAGTATGGATACTTCCTTCTTTTTTGTTTGCTACACTCATAACTCATTTTCTGTCTCTTTTGCCTGGGTATTATAATGAATCTTGAGTTGCTTTATTTCGTGAACCTCCTTCTGTCCAAACTACAAATTGATCAATGTTTTCCTTGTCCTTTTTGTCTTCATGATTCCTTTGCTCTGGCCTAAAATTATAACCCTTCTCTCTTTCTTGAACTTCAACCTCTTATACCCCTTCTGTATGCTTGGGGTGCACCTCTTTTTCCTCCTTTATTTCTTTTTTTCCTGCAGTCTGCTCATCTTATCTTCACCCTTGACCTCCTCACTGTAGCTCTTCTTCACAACCCTAATAGTTTTTGATGAGGATATTTATTATTTTTCTTTTGTCTCTTAGGCTTTTACTTCTTCCTCTACTGTCTCTATTGTTACTTGGTCTCTCTGTTCTTGGGATATCCTCAGTCTGGATTATTTTCTTTTGGGTGTCCACCTCCCTTCATTCTCTCTCTCCTTGACTGAAGTCTTGTCTCATTTCTCAATTCACCATTCTTTGTTTTTTTTTCCCAATATCTTTGTATCTTGAGCTGGGGGTGCTTTCAAACAATCTTCTTTTGATTCTGTGGTCTCCTGTCTTACTAGACCACAGATACCTCAGTTGGCTACCTGATTATGGCAGTCCCATGGGGCTAATTCTTCTGTTCCTCATCTCTATCATTTATACTTGACATAAATTTTGTCCCTTTTCTCACTGCACAATTCTTTGGGGGTGTTCCTACTTCCTTGGTATATTGGGTTGGGTCTGCTCACCAACAATCTTCCTTTATTTCCCTGATATCTTGTCTCACTAGACTACAGATACATTGGTTGGCTACTTGACCTTGGCAGGCCTGTGAGACTACCTCCTCTCATGTTCCTCCTCCCTATTGTTTCTACTAGCCGTTCCATCCTCGCATAGGGTGGGCCATTAAGACTCTTGGTAATAACCCTTCCAATGATCCAATTATTGGTTCTAGAACCTCTAATGATAATACATTCTGACAATTATGGGGTCATTTCATCCATCACTCTTCAAGGAGGCATTGGCTTTTGGGAAGTTTCCCTTCCCTCGCCTTTTGACATACTTCCATCTGTTTTGAAAATTGCCTATTACCTAGTAGTGTTATCCATTCCACACCTTTCATCTCTTGCTTGATACTTTCCCATTCTTTCATCATTTTTTCTCGTTATTATTGCTTGTGGTCTTAATTGTTTGGACATTCATGTCTTCACTGCCTCTTGTCCTCTATATCATAAGGATCATTTGAGTTGTTCCCTTATTTGTTCTTTCTTCCAAAGACTTGGGCTGCCTGGGAACATGATCAGTTGTTTTTTCTCCAATTGCTTTCAATCTGATTACCTCATAATGTAATTTTCTATTCCCAATCACCTTTTATGTCCAGATAAGGCTGGACCTTGATATCCTGCTCGGACTGGCCTCTTTTGTGCCACTGTCACCCCCTTTATTTATATGACTTACCTTGATTGGGTTCATCAGCTCATCTATCTGGCACTTATTCTTTGGGTGAGTCTGACTGAATGCCTTTTGATCTTGCATCTCATCAGTTGTGGTTTATCCCAGCCTTTCTTGCCTCTTTTCAACACTGACCATTGGAGGAGATTTTCTAGGCTATTATGTTGACTTCATCTCTCACTACTTACATCACTGATTTTGTCTGCTTTCCACATCCTTCACACATTTCATGACAGCAGTACATGTTCACCAACCTTTTTTTTTTCACACATCCAAAAAACGAAGACAAAAATATTCAAACCATAAACCCACATAACATGGGGAACTAAATATTACATTTCTTATGTTTGGTGTCATCGGATCATATTGAGTAGCCAGTGTTTCCTTACAAAGAATACTACTCTACATGAAATCTGCATCCAGCAGGGAAGTGCATAAAGTTTTAAACCCATCTGTCCATTCTTAGTGCACACCGGTGAGATGGGAATTTCTGCAAAACTTCTTCAGCTGTATATCTATATAATTGATCTGGCTATTTCTGCAAATTTAACAATATAATTTTCCTGTTATAAAATCACAGTAAATTAACTGTTGAAACACACTGGGCAAGCAGTTTTACCTACTTGAGAAGCATGTGATCTCCCCCTGGATGCTGCTCCACCAGGTGATCCCCAGACTTTTGGAACTCACACCCCATGGTCCTTCTATTTCTCTTGCTATTTCGAAAGGAATTCATTTTGTCTTTGATCAGCACCACCCCTCCATCATCTTCAATATGAAAAGAGGTAAGTAACATTGCTGAAGTTAACATTTTTCCATACCTGAAAATGTAGTTCAGCTAGTTATTTTCTCTTTGCACTATCTCCCACCCTTCCTCCCCACTTCCAGTACATTTCATTTGCCTCATCAAGAATGAACCTGTGATTGTGCATGTACTCACAGGGATTACTGCACATAGGGTTTGTGTCGCCCTTCTATTGGTGGAGGGCTACAGCATTAGGAGAATTACATTATAGGCTGCTTTAATACATTTAGACACAATATTAGGTGGGGGTTTGCTCAAGATTTGTGGCATTCATAGGAAATTCTATGGCTGTTGCATGCAAGGTAATAGCTCGTAGTAGTGTAAAGATATAAGTATATATCAGAAATACATTTTCAGGTAAGGAAAATATTAACTTCCAAGACACCTGAAGAATTAGTTCTGTTTCTTTTCAGTAAATCATGTTTTCAAGGTATCAGAAGAACAAGTAACAAAATCTAAACAACCACAAATGTAAGTATATATATATATATAT